CTGGCTAGAAAACTCAAAGCCTTCCAAGTCGAATATCGAGTTCAATGAACTTTTATCCTAATCCATTTTGTAAATCTTAAAATCGGGGTACTGCTTCCAGATAAGGGAGTAAGTAACCTCTCAGAAAACTTCCATTTTCACTCAAATGAAAGTACTGCACTCTGTTCTTGGGGAACATTAGTGTTCAGATACCCCAAACTGAGGCCCGAATGGGCTGAATTCATATCAGTACGGGTAATGCTTTTCGGTCAGTCCACTAGCCGGTTATCCACTGGTTTTATAGATTTGACTAAAACAAATGAACGAACGGATACCACTCCCGTTCACCTGGTTAGTCTTATTTTTGTCAACAATAGCTGTGATACGTATGCTCAAAAGATAACCCTCCTAACCAACCCACTTGAGGTCACTGAAAGATGCTGCAGTGAAACTGTCATTCAAATATTCTGCAGCCAAATTTGGAAGGACGCCAGACTGTATAACGGTCGCTTTTTACGTGCTCTAAATTCGGTCAAGAGTTCGTCCTGCGTGGAGTAGTATCGTCAAAATTGCCAAGATTTTCAGGTCTCTATAAGCATGGTTGTGTAGCTAAACCATTAATGAAGTGGGGTACTTCCACTAGGGCCAGGCAGTGTGCCCACATTTGGGAGAGGAAGAAGCACACTTAGAGGGTCTCTGTCGTAGCTACGCAATCATCTTGATTATAGCATTACATCCTGTTCAGGAAGGTTGATAAGGAAATCGGTAAATTTGGGAACTCAGCAATAAAAGCTGCCAATTTGGAATTTCCTGCAGGATATACTACCCAGTATTTTGAAAAGCGGAAAAGGACAGTTTCAAACAGTGGACTTAATTTGTATTTTCAACACACTATGTAATAATAAAAGTTCTGAGTAAAACAGGGGCGATAAACAGTCTGGTATTTTAGGTCTTCCACGGGGACTGTCACGGTTTTCGGAACTTACTCAATTCTCGCCACATGACCTCCAGAGCCCTGTTTATTTGCATATTACGTAAACCAACAAGTAAGAAAAATTCTCAAAAAAACCAAACGAGGTACAAGCGAAAACAACCAAGGTGGCATATTTCCACTAGTGGTTCTTGATTAAGCTTGAAACATTCTCATTTTCACCGGGCTGTGTGACTGCAACGATCGTTGACCTTCGTTGACCTCCGTCAATATGTCCTGTCCGGATTAGTTCTGCCCGTGTGCAAAATGATCCGACTGGTCTGCAGAAAACACCTGCTACCCTAATCCAAACCCTATGAACAGGCAGTAAGTCGGTGGATTAGTTCGGTAGTACAAAGTGAGGATTAATCTTTGTGATTTAAGTCAATTGTCTGATTAACTTTAATTGCCTCGAGCTATATACCACATGTGTCGAAATGTATCCTCATAGAGAGCGAGTTTGCATTGGATTTCACCTCATCCAAATGGTTCCAGTTATGAATATCTCACGATCAGCCATCATGAAGAGGCACCTGAGAAGAAAATACATGCAATGAGCAGACGAGCTTCTACTTTCTCAGGTTTTCTTGTTCACTCGCCCAACTCACGTACAATCCTCTTAAAACGTTTCGTCACAAAGCGTCATAGTGCGTATCAAACAGAACACAACTTGAAATACAAATATTCACCTTGATAGCAAAGCCGTTTTTCGGCGAAAGCAGGCCAAGTCCTTAGTTTACTTTTGGACGCACTTCTTATAAACTCAAGGTAAGGTGATGCGCGACTGCATGTATTCCCGTTCACTCATTTATCGACGGAAAATTTAAATCATTGGAATGAAAAAATCGTTTCAGATCCTTTGAAAGGTAGTTAAGTCTGCTAAGGAAGTTCAGCTGTTTCATACAAACTTCCGCAAACTTCCACGCAAACTTTACGACTCCTCACTGTTTTATTTTTACCCAGGAAGAACTACTGACATGTTCGGCCATTAGAACATCCTCTGGTCGTTTACAGTATCGATTTCTCAAAGAGTTATTGTGCTGTCATAGGTAAATATGATTTTAAAATCTGCCGATACTATCTGCTGGAATAGATATAGAATCCGTTGCCTGTACAACGCAAAAGTGGTGATTCTGGAGCAATCTTGCTGCGGAGTCCAAACTACCACAGTCGGACAAGCAGAGACTGCATGAGTGGTGCTGAATGGGATGCGGCCTGCACTCAATTGGCGTCAAGGTTGATCCGGAGGAACCAGTTCAGCGAACGGACGTTTCCAAACTATCACTGGACCAAAATTGATGGCATAACAGTGTGTGCAGGGAGAAGTTCCCCACCACTGAACTACAGGCGTCATACATTAGTTATTGCGCACTAACAGACGAAACATTAACCATGTTTATGAATAAACTTGCGACATTCCCTTCACAACATGATTGATGGTACCACGGACTTTGGAGCGGAAATATGTAAGACAGCTACTGGCCAGAAGTAAGTTGACTTTTAAGAAGCAAAATGCCCCTAGGAGAACTAAGTACAGTGTTCCAGTACACTTAATATCGTCCTTAAGCATAAATAAAGTGGCTTTTTGCCGATGCAGTGAATCCACTTGACGGATGTCACAAATGAGAGATTTACCTAAGTTTCTTCTAGACGACATCCTAAATCTTAAATTGGCCTCTAAGAACGAGGTACGATTAATGAAAATCTATGGACAGCAGCTACTCACTGAGCTTCCTAATTGACAGAATCCATTATCGGTACCTGAGTAATTTCTATCAATCTCCTAGGAAGAAAACAACCCTTATATTGTCGCAAAGAACACTGGATTGACCCGGCGGACAATAGGAGTTAGTAACTTGCGTACCCGGAATTCGCTCATCCATATATCCCACAAAACCCATTAGGCATCGCTCTGTCAAGATTTGGATAGATCACTCAAGCAGTTTAGACTCTGCCCTGAACTGAAGTAGTAGCTCTTCTTTTAAATTTGTTCATTCGACAGTGATAGATGTGGTCTGGATTGATCTATTATTATCTCAGGGGCAGAATTACTGTCAGGTAGAGTTAAAACAACGGAATCTCAGTCAGCCAGTTTTTCTCATACCGAAACAATCCCAAACTATGTAAACACAAGTTTTAAGCAATGTGTAAGTTTCGGGGAACCATTTTATGCACTCTAGCATGCCTTGATTTCGGTGGTAGCAGCACATTATCTCCGGGTCCGCTGGTATCTGAAGTGATGGCTTTAGGCAAGCTTATGTCCGAGCAAACCGTCCTGTTTCTTACTCGGGCTGACAACGATGCAAAGCAGCTTACAGAATGCATGTTTTATTTTCTGCGCCGCAACAGCACGATTTACATTTTCTTCACCCGTAACCGTTTGACGTCGTCTGAAATCAGGGCAACTCCTAGTGGCTAAAGATTTCATCTCGTCCACAGTGCTCACTCCTTGAAGTGAAATACCAATAAGCCCCTCTACCTTTGTAAACCCAATTGAGCGAATAGCTGAATCCGCGCATGAACATCCTGAGTTCAGTTTCCATGATATCTTTGAAGAAGGTAACCTCTCCCGTTTTTACGGTCTCTCTCTCTCAAGCTACACCACTATCCGTTTTTCAGCAAAAATTAGTTACCAGGTTTGAGACTGCAACCAAATCAAGTTTTGACATAATTTCGTTTCGAATTCATTCTTCGATGTAGGGAATTTTCAAGATGCAGCGACTGCTTTGCCGAATCTAACGTTGTACAAGATTCGTCAACCTTGTTGATGTCTGCCCACATTACGCAAACGCTTTTCAGTAGGCTTATGATCAGATAGTTTCATCAGGACGCTGCGTACGCATCGTTCAGTGGATAGCAACAAAATTTTCTTTATCATTTTCCATTTCCTTTGGCTCAGGATGGTTTAAAACACTAAATCAGTCTTGTCGGAAAGTCGCTGAGCTTTGTGAAGTATGCAATGTTTCCCAACAAGGGTGAAACAGCTGTACAATGCTTCATGGATTTCCAGAATAGATAGGCTCGGGTTGCAGAGCAAAATTTCTACTGAAAATTATCACTCTCCTCACCACCAGAGGCAAATAAATACGTCGTGTGAATTGTCTTGTTCATTCTCGACTCCTCCATCTATTTCACTGGATTTTCGCCTTGTCGATAGCCGGTAGTCTTGATCTTAATCACTGTGGTGAATTAACAAGGGTAGTCCGCGATAGCATTTGTTCGAGAATTATTGAAACTGTACCCTCAGTTTGTCGGCTTGTCTGCAAGACTTCTTAGCACCGTGGGTTCTCCATAGAGCTGCAATAAATCACGTTTTTTTCAATGTGTCGCTACCGCTGACTGCTGACGCAAACGGATACTCCAGTTCTCCTGAACTTACGCAGACGTTGACTGTTGTTCTCAAGAGCACGAAGGTTGTGTATTGTATGATCGTGACTTCACACAACTAATATCAACGCATTCAACCTACTTGATAATGATGGGATACTGAACCCACATACTCAAGCGGACATCTTCGGATGATTGTACAAATATCCGGAAAAATCCGTACGAACCGGAACATGAGGCAGTCTGGTGCAGCAAATTCAGATGCCTAAAAACATCATTAACGAGAGCTTCAGTGGGGTTCCAGGTGAGCCTCTCGCAAAACTGAATTTGCTTGCAACTTCGTGTATTTCGTCAATTTCGTGCAATTCGGGTTCAAGTGGAACATAAGGTTGACGGAAATTCGGGGACTGCGCCTACCTGAGGAGCGTGAAACCGGTCGTGCGCTGTCGAAGAATTTCCAGCAACCATAAGAGTATTGCATTACGTCTATACGGTACCTGTTTCCCCGGGGTAAATAGCAATAATGATCTGTTCTGATGTTCTGATGTTAACGGAAAGAGAGAGTCGAAGAATTTCCAGCAACCTTAAGAGTATTGCACTACGTCTATACAATACCTGTTTCCTCAGGGTAAATAGCAATAATGATTTGTTCTGATGTTCTGATGGTAAAGGAAAGAGAGAAGAAAACACGAACGGAATTCCCTATTGTCCTGTTACCTTATAGACTCAGTATGTTCTTGCAACCCATATGAACTTTGCCGGTAAATAAAATCCGGGACCATGACAAAAGTCCCACGGTGTCAGTCTTCTTCTTGAACAAATTGCTCGATCCACCTACCCGACTAACGCTTTGATTCCTTAACAAGGAACTCTGCAGGCCCTATGCTTCTCTTTGAATAGAAAGTCGCATGCATGGATTTCACGCTCAACCACCGCTGCATGTTTAGCTTTGTACCCTGTAGTAACCTGCATCCGATCCGTTTTTGCGCACTGCCTATGAAGGAGGTCTTCGATATTTTCAATATCTGCCTAACCAGGAAAGAACATAACCCTTGAAGAATTTAATGCCAACTGTGCTTCGCTTTTATTCGAGCTTAATAATGGGCTATTTTGGCTATTATGTCTCATCAGTATTGTTCCAGACTTCGTCCACCGTTTGTCATCAGCAATTGAATACTCATAGAAAGCCGCTGTAAAGTGTGTATTGAATTCGCCCCAGAATTCGTCAAACTCATACTGAGGTACCAAGATAGAAAAAGCTGCAGACATTATTTGGTTTGAATTTCTCTGTATCTGGAACTCGTGAAGTCTTACAATGCGCTATCCAGGATGCCAAATTTTGTTGCATAGTACTCTCGGAATGTTCGTCGAGTGGATGCTTTGTCACCTAGTCTTGTCGAAAACATAGGAGTGGTGGCTTTCCGTCGTTTGGCTTAATTTGAAGACAACACCAGACTGTACACCTAATCCAAGAAGAACGTTTCCATGAAAACTCGACTTGGAAGTTTCATGTAGTTTTCAGAGACAGACATTAAACGTTTTTGTCTGCGGTGTGTCTGGCCCACGGCGCAACGGATCGGAATGAACCGATACGGCACATCGTTCAAGTAGTAGTTTCATTGGCCTAAACGCATGCATGCGTGGAGACATAAGAAAGCACCTGCATCGTGCCATAAGGTACAACAGCCTACCAGAGCGATCGGCGCATTTGCGCTGACGCACCCAAACGCACGCGAGCACATGAACAGGCGTGCGTGCATACACACACATACACGCGCTTTTGGGCCATTAGTTTCAGTCCATACTTTATGTGAATTGATGGGTTAAGGCGAGTAGGTTATGTGAGCCTTTCGTTAAGGGTAGGCGGATTAAACAGATGTAAAGATGCTAGGGGGTCTGAAATAGGGGTAGACAGGCGGCCAGGCAAACTGACTGGCAGGCAGGCAGCATCGCGCGTCGCTCATTATGTACAACCAAATACCGAAAAGTTCAGATAGTCCAATACCATACATCCTTGCAACACGCGTCAGTTCACCTGTTATGCAGTTTTGGATTTCAAACTGAGTCTGCGTCACTCGGCTAGCACTCCAGTGAGTAACGCTTAATCACTTAACTTGGTCCGGTGAAGCAACCAATGTCAGTGATATCACCCGTTCCCCTCGAACCTCATTCTAAAACAAAGAAACAGCATTTCGTCCAAAATATGGAACCCAACCACGGACAGCAAACTTCTATGTACTCTTTACGACACACCCCGGAATCACCAGGACTTCAAGCAAATTCACGTACTTCACCAGTCGGTTTCATGCACAGAACTTCATCTGGAGAAAACATTGAAGAAAGAACGGCATTTCAAGCGAAACAGGAGGAGGGTGAGTCGCATTTATCAGTATCATATCGTGAAACCAACAGTAGCAGTTCACATGAACCCAGTCCGAGAAAACGGCACTGCCCAGATCTAGCTGACATCGTCTCGTCTAGTCCTCTGTCGAGTTCCAACTATTTGGTATCCAATAGCCTTCCGTGTCCGTGTGGTCGAAGCTTTAGCGATTCTACGAATTTTATTGAGCATGCACGTCAATGTGTTGAATTTGCAAAGACGGCCACCAGTTTCGCAGAAGCTGCCGCAGCCGTCGCGTCATCAACTATCCTAAATAACAGCAGAAATTCTTCCCCCTTGGCTCCTCCGGTTGTGTTGCAAGGTTCTCATAGAGGAGACACGAACAGTTCTACGAATGGGAATGTTCCCAGGCTACCAGTAGATATTCCAATTCCGGCATCGTCCAAGACTGTCTCCAGTAACAATACCTATGTTAATGCACTGGATCTTTCGTTGCGTCCAGAAGACGTCTGTGCAAATACCTTAACTCAGTGTCCAGACTGTAAATTTTCGGTGAAAAGTGTTGACAGCTTACTGCATCACTTCGAATCAGAACATAATTTGAAAGGAAAGTTTACCTGTCACTGCACAGACACCTTCGGATGGCTGCCAAATCTATTAAAGCATCAGCTCAGATGTAAAAGAACGTCTGAAACGCGGGGTGGCGAATCAGATACGGTATTTGTCGGTGGACATCATAACCCAGGGTCAGGTAGTATTCGTGATCGTCATCCACCCGCTCCAAACACTGTTGATTTAATGTCAGGACACAGGCCTCTCAGCTGTACTGGCTGTGGTCGAGGTGGGTTCCAAAACACCAATGAACTTTTGAAACATTTTGGCCAATGCAATCAAATGGCTCCTCAAACTGCTTCATCTAGTGCGTCTTCTGTGCAGAAAGTAATGAGTGGGGAACAGAATAAGCTATCCCCATTGCCATCCCACTCATCAGTTCCTCTGTCTACAAACGGAACGTCCCCTGCCCCTTGGAACCATTTCTCTGCATCCTCTGCACTTTCTTTAAGCCCTAATATGTTTCTCCCAACTACGTTTCATATGAACAAAGGTTATGAAATTGGACGATCATCCCCCACGAAAGAACCATCACTGACTCGTTTCCCTCTTGGTCTTTTACAACCTTTGGGAATGTGTGGACTCCCAAGAGGAGGTTCGATGACACATCAGTATTTCTCGCCAAAATTGGGATATCCACCAGCGGCCCCACCACCTACAAACTCGATGACCTCTAAGCCCTTTCAACGTGGATCTTCTTTGAAGACAACAGATTCGACTCCTGACTCATCCATTGGCAACATAGACTTGTCAAGGCCTTTCAAATGTTGCCACTGTATAAAAGCTTTCAAATCCAAAGCTTTACTTGATCAACACATGCATATTCACTACCCACCGAAATACACCTGTCGTTATTGTGCAAAAAAGTACCGGTGGCCTCCAGTTTTCTACCACCATCAAAGAACCTGCAAGAAACGACCACCAGTAACCAGTGGCACAAGTATAGACAACAACTCAGGAGGAATGACAGTTTCATGTGCCCTCAATTCACGATCACACACTGTAGCCGCCAGCGAAACTCCGCTTTCTTCCACCATCGGATCAGGACGTTTTCCTCCAATTTCTAGCATCTTTTCGCACAACGCTTCACCGCAAACTGGGAAAGTACCTTCAAATCCAATGGTGTTGTTCCCACCCTTTCCATTACCATTGTCTCATAATTCGAGCCCTCCGGATTGGTTTTCGGCCAATAACATTTCCGAAACCCACTGTCACTCAATGGCTGAAAGGGAACCCATGGGTTTCGCCGCACTGGCAGCGGCCGCAGCAATGGGTGTGCGTTTTCCGCTCACACCTATACCGCCACCATTGGGATTAGCAGATCCTTACATCCGCACCCAAGGCACTGCACAGACGTCACTGCCATGCATTCCAGGCACAACGCCATACAACAATATTCAGACAACACCTCTCATCCCGTCTGGATTCTTCTCCCCGTTTTTATCCACGACCCCCTCAAGCCAACCGATGACATCTCTGAATTCATCAGTCCCGCTAATGAACGCCACAGCTAATACTGATCTCAAACCCAGCCTACCTCCGAGTTTATTGTCACCTACAATCAGCTCATCACCGGACGGCTGTGGTCGGCTAGACAAAGTAACTTCTTCATCGCCCAAAGCCTCATCGGTACTGCCTCAAGTGGATCATGGGGTCCTTAAGTGCGTATGTGGAACTCATTTTGAAGACATTACACTATACTTAGTACATATGCCTACCTGTTCAGCGCTACAGCATCTTGTGAGCTTGGATCCACTGAAAAAGGCTTCGGAAACAAGGCAGAATTTGAGCTCCCCCTGGTTTCCCCCCGTATTTCCATTATTACCCTTTCCATTCGGACGCGGCCATTTTCCTGTAGGATCTAATCCATCCACCGAGCTGCAACTGGGGCATTCTGTCAAGCAAGGCAAGGAAACCGATGGAGACGAACATCCGGTGAGCCAGAATTCTGTTTTGGAGATTGATGAACTCCCAAGCCAGGAAAGATTTACCGTTAGTAGGTTGGCGGAGAAAATGAAGACCGAAAAAGGAACAGATCTCAAGAAAGCAGACGAGACACATGAGAGCCGACTGAACTATCCTATAAATGACTCGGGTAATCACATCTGGTCTGACTTGTTTGGTTCACCTGATTTTGCGGCGGCTAACCATCATTCCGGAAAAGATTGTGGCTTTATTCCAATGCAAACCAAAACAACGGTAAGCGGAACGGGTGAGTATCAGAAAATAAATCAGGATGTCCCCAATCCTAAAAGACCTACGGAGACAGACGAAAGACAAGACAAGTCGGATCAAAACGAAAATGACTGCAAAGGTCCCCGTTTCTTCTCAGATCAAAGGGGACTGAACCAAAATCTTTTGCATTACTCGAAAAACTTTGGAAGCTTTCCTGAATCATCTTCGAAACACCTGGACTCGTCTACGTCTTTGATGGCTGCGATGGCGACTGTGCTGGCCAATGCGGCAGCTGCTGCAGGTTTCGGATGCTCTGGATTGGCCAGGACACCTGAGACTGGAAGTGACCTACTTGAGCAGTCTGAGTATGCACTTCCATCGACCCCTCTCACAAATGGAATGGTATCCCACAAACTGTGTGTGCAATGTGGAAAGGAATTTAGCTCAAGACTTTCGCTCAAGCAGCATGTTGAAGGAAAGCACAGTGCAGAGGGAAAGTATCAATGTCCCGGCTGTGCAAAACGATATCGATGGGGTGCATCCTACTATTATCATAAAAAGTCATGCGCAGCAATCCGGGAACAGAGTTCCCCGGTAAGTGACTCGAATGGTCTTAGTAGGCAATTGTCACAGGAGGAAAATTCACCCAATGCCTCAAGTGACTCTCCTCTGAACTTCCACCAGAACGGTGAATGTGACCTTTCTCCTAGCGTGATTGTTCAACGCTGTTTCGATGACGACCGGGATTTGCTTCGTATACCTTCAGAACGGGGGAAGTTTGGCATCAAGACACCGTCCAGCGATCCTATTGAGGAAACGATGAACTGTGAGGTGACGGACAGTGCTAGAAAATCCAGAGTTTTGGAAATATGGCCTGTGGAAGACTATACAAACCAGTTTCCTAGTCACTCTACCCTTCTGAAAGAAACCTCGCCAAATGGTTCGGATAACTTCCCCGAAGTGAGTCCAATTTTTTCGTACTTTTCAACCCTAAATGGTGCTTTATCATTGGATGTTGTGTTCGAATGCACCTTAAGGTGACCTCCACCTTGACCCAAGCTAGAAGGACATCCGTCTATCTAGATTGCCTGTTTGTATAGCAAGCTGGTGGGAGCGTGAGATTCTGTCCGTTTGAATTGCCGATAGAATAATGAGCTAAAATTTGGGGAACCAGCCTAACCGGAAAGATATAACGACAGTCAAACCGGCAACTTTCTATTAATTCTACGCTTAGGAGAATTTTTTCTGCGCAGATTTTTGAGTGTGATGATCGGTCTTGCAAGTGAGTTATTCATGATTTAATTCAAACACTGCTTCCACTCTTGGTACTCGGGTGGGTTTCTGGCCTATTGAAACATCTGCTATCACATTCTTATCGGGTTTCTAGAGGGAATTTGAAACAATCAAGCCCTCAAAGGCTTTATAACAGTATAAATCGTAGGTCTTATAAAGCCTGCCAACAACCCACCGTGATTTCTCTACATCTGTCTCCTCAGATAGACGATCTTCTACCTTAGCTGAAGAGAGATTTACTCACTTATCTTTAGAGGGGAGTTCAACAGGTCCTCAAATGAATCATTATTTGAAGACGTTCTCAAACTGAATGAGCTCCGTGATTCTGACTGGAGGTTCAGTTAGGCAGATATGCATGCTAGCAAAATGTATTTCCTCAGTACGCTTTACCACCATTTCAAAACTACCCGCTACCGAAGAGCCTGAAATAGACTGAAACTGATAGTAGACTGCCTGCAAGTTTTAGTCAGTGAAACAAACAGGCTGTTGGAAAGACAGTGTAGGTTAACCACGAACTGAAGCTCAGCAGACTCTCGTAACAGACATAGCATTCGTTAGCCTTGTAAGCCTTTTAAGTAAATGGAAAGGTTGAAAATCGGTCAGTTGACCTTGGAAAGAATAAATGAATGCTTATAAACATCATCAATACTATATAGAATTGTCTATGGCGGTGGAACTTGCTTCTCGGTGACTTTTGATCCGCCGTGGGATACGTTCACTGCGAATGAATTGTGGAAAAGCGGCAAAAATTACAACGGATGGTTAAGAGTAGCACACAATCCCTACTGCTCAATTCTTATGGAAGTTTGTGCTCATTCCATTGCCAGTGAACAGGTAGTGAGGCCTTCCATTGCGTTGCATCTAGTTTTTAGCTAATTTTGATGTTTGATAAAATGATCTTATCCAAGCGGAGTCACACACCTATTTGCAAGCGAATTTCGTTTTAACAGTAGACTCAGTGGAATATTGGTTGGAGCTCTTGGTAATAATCATTAACTGATTAGGCCATGCAAAGTCTACTCCGTGATTTAGTTGTGGTATTTTTCAAGATATCGGAGCATCTTTCCTGACTCAACACTAACCGGAGAAGCTTCGGCAGTTCGCTGCGTATTCAATCCTGTACAGCTTAATTTTCATCACCGAATCCCAGTTTGCAGCAAATTTCTACATATTTAAGCTGAGCGGATTTTTAAATGAATGTGGCCCGCGTTAACTGCC